CCGCAGATCATCTTACACGCGCCCCCGTCACTTTTTCAATGATATCCCCGGTGCTATGTCATCTTTGCCCTATTACAGTCGGCCATCTTATGATCCTAGCTATTGACAGTTAAGAGTTAGTGGAGTTTGCGCAATTGTACAAGACCATTTTAGCCAACTAGTGATACATATTTGCAGAAATTGAACATGTTGCGCGACAAGAACATTTCTTTTTATTCTGATCTGTATACATACACAGAGCTAATGGTAATAATACACCACCAAGCCCCTCGACCCAGTGCCGCAAAAGTCCTACTTTACAACTTGGCACCACGAGTGATCTTTTGAATGTGTTTATCGCCAAAGGCCTGGGATTCCTTATCATTGCCGAGATGAATCTGAATTGAGTCCTCCGAAGTCAAAACGCTCCTCAAATGCGATTCCAAGGAAGCGTTCAATTGCTGCTTGGTCAGTCTTAGCCCTTTGGGACTGGCCTCCAGCATTTGTTTCGCAAAACCGCGAGCTCTCTCATGCAATTTCGCACTATCTACAACGTCATTCACTAATCCATAACGCAGCGCACGCTCAGCATCAATGATTCCACCCGTTAAGAGGAGTTCAGAGGAAATGCCCGCGCCCACCAATCTCGGCAAGAACCACGAAATGCCCATATCACAACTCGTCAGCCCAAGTTTAATTGCCGCACTCGCCATCTTTGTATTTGGCGTACAGATTCGCAAATCTGAGGCAAGAGCCATTGCAAATCCAAATCCCATGACATTCCCCTGCAAGGCCGCTATGATGGGTTGGGGAATTTGCCTCATCTTCCAAGTGAACGAAGAGAATAACTCTTGACTCTCTATATCACGAAAGTATTCTGGTTCCGCCAAAAGTGCACGCAAGTCCAGTCCAACCGAGAAATTCTTGCCTTGCCCTGTGAGAATGACCGCTCGGACCGACTTGTCGACCATGAGCTTGTCAATGACACTGTGTAATTCATCTCGAATTTCCCTGTTGATCGCGTTATGCGCGGATGGACGGTTGAGGAAGAGCCATAGCAGGGCGCCGTTCTCCTCAAAAACGAGCTGCAGGTGCTTGTAGGTGGACGCAGACTCTTGCAAGCTCATTGTCTCTGCAAAAACTCAGTGACAATGATGTGACCATCTCCAGGAACCTGGCATGCCAGCCAGCGTTGTCATTGCGGTCGGTTAAACTTTCGGCCATTCGGAGCTGCTGCGCCAATCACACTTTGGATTTGTCCGGACGTTCGAACTATCACGAGGTGTCACTCGACTGTCCCAACGTCGCCAAAGGTTCCATGTTTCCTAGCATTACCAACATAAGTTGTGATTAACGAAATCTTCCTCATGTCGATGCTACGCTTGTGTGAGCGCAATGTTAACTAAGAAGATATAAACTTTACTTGGACGTTGGTGAGCAATATGCATTTTGTAAGGTACCTGCCGTGATTCGGGAAGTGCAGGACCAAGTATAAAGACCAGGACACAAGTTTCCAAAGTTTGCGAACATTGTGGTAACAATTGATATACTAGTGACACATGAATTTACTATAACCTCCATTTCTTGCATAACTTGAAGGTGGGCTTATGATTCAGCAACAATTCTCCAAGGCTACGGTATTCATAGACAGAATCACCTCCAGACACATAGATGACACTACGTAATCTAACTTTAATATGTCTAAAACAATTTCCTTACTTCAATCCAGCTCCAGCTGCATTGGAGACCCTAACTAATCAAGCCTTCACCTTCCATGGCTTGAACGGATTGTCAACGGTGTCCATAGCAGGCTTCAAATCGGGGAAGTGCCTCGTAATGAGGCTCTTGAAGTTGCCCTGCTTCTCAATCCAGTCAAGACCTTCTTTACCGTAAATCTCAGGCTTGTAGTCGTCAGTAAGGAACCGGTCCGTAGCCAGACGGCGGGAGGCCATGAGAATAAAGAGATGGAATGCCGTGTCACTAAAACCGTATCCATCCGGACGAGGCTCCTCAGCGAGAGTACCGACAAGAAGGTCAATGTCCTCTGGCGAGCGGTAAATAGAGGCAAGAAGGTCTTGGACTTCCTTTTTGGGGTTCACATCCGCAAAGGTTTTGAACTCTGGAAGCCCGAAGGCACGACGGACTATAAAGAAACAATATGGGTTCAGTGACACGATTCACAGTCTGGTATAATATATATCTTACATTCAAAGTAGCGCGGGATACCCCTCTCACGGTCACGGTAGATGTCGGTAGTTGCCAAGTCAATGGTATAGGGTTCGCCGGGCTTTGTCAAGTTCATGAGCCAAGCAGGATAATTGTTCAAAGTCAATGCTCCGGGATGGCCAGTTCCAAAAGTGTAAACCAGATCGGCAAGGTCGTTCTCGGTCATGAATTTGCGGCTGCCGGCAAACGTAATGGTGGGGAGGTGGTAAACACGACCGGTGGATTTGCCGGTCTTGCGGTCAAGAACATCAATGTTGTCGGGGAGGAGAGAGTGGAAGCGGTAGACGGCTGTGAACTCTTCGGTGAGAGAGAAAGGCTAATTTGACGGTTTTGTAAAAGAATAATTAGCAAAGGGTGCTCAATGCTTTAATGGATTGGCAAGGCACACGTACCACGTTGTGAAGTTCCTTCTTTCCACCAACGATACCAGTCAGGATGGGGCCGCCCTGCCAGTCATCGAGAATGTCAGGCAAGATTCCATCCCAGTTGGTTTGCATGCCCGTCTTCAAGATTTTGTTTTG